TTGTTTCACATTACGTGCAAGTCATTGCGGCAAGGCGACCAGACATAGTTCGAGGTCATTCAGTCATGTACTCTCTAACGGACCATCTTCTCAGTGTTACGTTAGGTACGTATTCAGTAAACGTCTGCACGCGTAACACTTATTGGTCGCAAATGTTGGCCACAGATTTCAACTCGGTTTTGTCATTGCATTCCAAATAGCTCACTTTGTGCTCATTAAAGTTTGGCGAAAAGAATATTCGCTCTACTTAGAGCGCATTCGGTTGCATTCATACACTTTGTCATTTCAACATTATCTCAAATGAGGCTTTCATTAATTGTTATTAAGTAGGCTGAATCGTCTGATATTGGAGCCATACGGCCGGCTACGGGCGCTAACGGTACTTGCATCGCCCGTCTCCGCCCGCACTGATTGGCCCTGCAACTCTCAGACGCCGTCTCTGCAATCCAATACATCTATTACTGTTATTAAATTTATGTTTGAGTCTATCCATACTTTCTCCCATGTGCGATGGTACTCATAAACATCGATCATGGCGCTATCGAGATGCTGCTTCTTATCCGATTTACATTTATTTTTACACCCACGCATCACAGTAAAGATATTGTTTCTCAAATAACAATATATTGTCGATGAATCGCTTAGTTATTACATGGAGGTTTTATTAGAATTATGTTAGCATATTAATTGGATTTCACAAACCTTTTATAGCTTTCATAACGTTCTAATTGGCAATATGCAAATTTGCAAATTAGCGAATGGGTAAATATAATCTGGGTTGTAAACAACAACAAAAATAAAAACATTATATAAGCATATATAAGCATTATCATTTGAAAATACATCTGAGTCCGATCAAAAGCGATGTAAATAATCACATCACATCACATCAGCAGCCTTCCTCTCCTTGAATAGGAGGTTTGAGGCATAATTTATTTGTCAATTAAAATTATACCTATACAATAAAAAAATATTATGCTACAATACACCTCAGTAAATATCTAAAACGTTATTCTAGTAAATCTATTACAAACAGAATTGTTTTAATTTAGAAAACTTTTTTCTCCTGTAAGAGTTTGTTTTAATAAATGAAATATTTGCAATGACTCGGCTCGTATAACGCCACGTTCTAACTTTGTCATTTAATTTAACCCGTATCGACGCTATGAATGTATGGAATTTCAAACATAAGAGGCGGAAGCGGTGAGCGAGGCGCCTTGATCTTGTACATACACAACATACGAATATAATGTGTGTACACTAGTATAACACATTCAAGTACTTATAGGAAACATCGCAAAGTGACGTTGCGGTGACAATAGCACGTTCGACCCTGTTCGCAGGCTTCTCACACTTTCAATTCGATCGACTTGTTCGCAGCCCCATTTATAAAGGGGCTATTTAGTAATTTACATCTATACAGCTTTGTATAGATGGCACCTCGTCAGTGTTTACAGACAGCTGAAGGGTACTCCACACTTTGGATCTTAGATATATGAAGTGCGATTGACTACTGATAATATGAGTGATGTTAAGACAGTAAGTAGACTATAATATATAGGTGCATAGACTATATTTTGATAAATGTATATAATTTCTATTTTTTTATGAATGGTTATCTTAATGATTATAAAAATTGACACTAGTCTCTTTAGTTTACGTGAGGAGAATTTTCAATCCGTTGAAGTCTTGGGAGATTTCTAAATTAAATTAGGATAGGTCGATGAACTGCAGTGTTTAATAAAACCCACAGTTACTTTATATCTTTTTTACTGTTAAAGATTGCATCTTAAATTGCACGTATACATACTAAAGCAGTTTAAGATGAAATCCGATGATGATCTTTTCTCATCTATAGACGCAGTAGATATTACCATTTTTTATTGGTATCCATTCTACAAACCAGGAACAAATCTGTAGCATAAACCAGATTTGATATAGCACGGATTATATATTCAGTTAAGTTATTTCATGGTAGCTCGATTATTACACGCAAATTAAAAAATCGATACGGATGCTAGTCGCACTGAAACGCGAAGCGTCCTTGAAGATTTAACATTCATCTCTCCGCATTTCGGCGTATTCGATTGGCAAAAAAGCATTCAAACTGCGATCCGAATTTAAAGTTCAATAAAGACAACTCTGCTTTTCAATTTAAGAAGCTTTGTTTTTATTGTTCGAGGATCAAGTCAGTCACAGATCTATATAAGTTCATTTGTAATTTAAAATGTTCCAGAGTAATAATACTGATACTGGATCCTAAAAGTAGATGATTTTTTTACCATTTACCGCACATATGATATAGTAGCCTATAATGGCATATCGACAATGAAGACATGGTTGATGCAGTGATTCCACGAAGTATAGGTAGGCTTGGTCGCTATCTAACGGTATCGGGCCCTGCATTGCGTGATATTAATCCACCGACTTTATCAAAGTTATTACTTGTTATATAAAAGGTATTATTTATGATATTTAAGGGAAGGGATATGAAATAGTTCTTGCTACTTTAAGCTTGAGGTTTATTGTTGAATGCTATTGAAAATTAGTATGCATAAGTGTTGTAATATTTATGCAGGTTAAAGTTACGATTTCGACCACACCTTGAGCATAGTTGAGATGCCAATCTACAGTTAATTTTTAATTCCGTTACAATTTACGTACTATTAAAATTTGTTATAGGTTGAAGTCAGAATGAATATCCCAGTAACTTGGATAGAACCTTGATTAGAAGATCTTGGAAGAAGATTAAAGTTCAAGAAAACCCAAAAAATCTTTGAACTTACAAGAAGACTTTATTACTACACTAGCTTTTATCCTCGACTCCGCCCGCGTGTATGTCGGTTATCGCGCTAAAAAGTAGCCTATGCTTTTCCTCAAGAATCAAAGTCACTCTGAAATTTTCTGAAATTCACTAAAATCAGTTCAGAGGTTATTGATTTCGCAAACAAAGTTCCACCCCTCGTTCCACACCCTTAAAGGGTGATTTCTGGTAAAAACATCCTATGCCCTTTCCCGAGACTGAAACTATCGCTGTACCAAATTTCATCTTAATCGGTTCAGCAGTTTAAGCGTGAAGAGGTAACAGACAAAGAGAAAGATACACTTTCGCATTCATCAATATTAGTATGGATTAATATGGATATAAGAATGTGTAATATATAAAACGGATAATATGGGTTGTATTAAACTCAAGATATCATTAGTACCTATTATAATCATCATCATCATCATCAACAGCCTATAATACTCGTAGTCCACTGCTGGACATAGGCATGTCATTAGAAATGACGTATATGTCACTTGGTACTAAATAGTCACTAAATTTACTAGAATAAATAGTTCATATACCTACTCCTTCATATACAGTACCCAGTTGTTGTCCTGTCATTCATGACCTTTAAGGCAACACACAAGTAAGCTCAACCAAGGAATGAAATGTAAAAGTGTGTGACAAGTCATTACGAACAGGTACTAGTTCAACTAAAGAAGGTTTAGGTGATCAAGTAGTTCGATATTTGTAATTGAATAAGAACGTGAAGGTTTTCCGGTAAGCGAGTGGCGGCACCACAAGTTGCGTTTGTGCAGCGCCGCTTCACCGAGCAAATTGGCGGGCGCGGGGAGTGTCACGACGTGGTTAGCCTAGCTAGTGCTAAGCTTCAATCTATTTCGCCTTTCGCGATCATTATAATATTTCCCCTACTTAATTTATCGTCATGACTGAATATAGAGCGTTAAAATTAAGGCTTTGATTTATAAATATTTTAAAAATAAATATATGAAAGGCTTTCATTGTTTCTATTGCCTTAACTCATTTAACCTAAATCAATAGGAATTCTCTTACTTCCGACAAGTTAACAATGTTATTTAAAAGCCTTCATTTGGCAATGAATTATCAGATTTTATTGAAGAAATTCTGGTTTTATGACATCAGCTCCGTTCAAGTTTTGATGTCGAATATTCTGTTGGCATTCTGATTATATTCGTTGTGGCCGCGGACCCTGACATTTCGATAAAAGCAGCTGATGACCTGTTTTCGATGTTATTCGTTGTCAAATGTTTAGAATGACTTCCAATAATGTCGAAATATTCTTGGTATATGCAAATTATTTAGTTGCAGTTTGTTTGTTTGTTGGAATTAATTCAGATTTCATTTAATTTTAATTACTTGATTAGAGTTTTAAACGGTAGGCATTGATGATTATATCTTAATTTTAATTTAATATTATTGGGACTCAGGCTGGGACAGACTTTCTGGGTGTCAGTCGAATAGAAAATGGGTTACCAAACTTAATAAAGGTTTTGACATACAGTTACTAAAATACTTCGGGTAGACGGTTTTCGTAAAAAAGATTGGTCGTTGGTACATATACGCAACTCCACTTTTAGTAGTTAAGACTCATCGAGTGTGATCTTTGGTAGTATTAAGTAAATGATTGTTGTTGTAAATTACATACTTGAATTAAATAACGCTCGACACCAGTAAAAAGAATGCGAGTTCTAGTTATTTAATATAGTATTTAACGAATTATTTACTAGACGTAAATACTTCGTTAAATATTCTGTATATATTATGTGTTGGAAATATACTCATTAATCAAACATGACATCTATGTATAATCGTGATAGTTCTAGTCAAAGCTAATAGATTTGAAATATTTTGGTCGTAAATGTGTTGTAAATTGCCAGTTCTTAACAAACATTTAAGACCCATACATAAACAAACGTAGGCGAATAACATCAAACAGTTTGTAAAAGAAGACTAATTAATAGTTGTATTCTTAGTAATAAATAAGGCATACGTTATTGTATTGCAAAATAAACGCATACCAATTGCTCTTTTACTGTGACTGTAAGTTATCCTGATTAAAACTCAATTGGCTATTATTTTTATCTGATACATATTTTCATTTATAGCACACGGTTCTTATATGTTATTTTTTATTCCAATTTATTTAAAAAATATGTACTATATTTGAAATTGTTTCTATTTATTGCAGGAAAACTGTTGAACCTGTAAAGAAGAATGAGCGAAAGTCGTCATTTGAAAGAACATTCTGGGAAGGTAAGTACCAACATGCATAATGTCTTATAGTTGTAGTATGTAGTAGACATGTATTAACACTTTTTGGCTACCTGTGTCGGATATACGTATATCGGGCCTTATTATTGATAACACATATAATTTTTATGTAACCGATTTCCATCTTGATTAAAAAAAAATGCTTGGTTATAATTTTAATTATAACAATAGCATAAAAATAAAGTACATTATTTTTGTAGAAGTTTGAAGTGTTCCTACACTTCAAACTTCTATCTGTCTGTCCTCTCGTCTTCCTGCGATCTGTGGCAGCGATTCCGTAAAACGGCACGGAAATATGTAACAAAAAGCGAAGAATCGTTGTCTATTTGAGTTCACTAATGAGCACGTGATGCTTTAGAAGTCTATAGTTGTCAGTCAGATGAGCGGTGACATGTCAGATGGTTCATATGATATGCAACTATTGTAAGGTTTGTTCCTTTGTTTTAATACAAATGCTTATTGAATTAATTAAATTGGATTTAACCAAGTAAAATTATCCATTTTGCAAAAAACTTTCTTAATACTGATTACCAGGAATTAGAAACAACATATTTTGGGACAGGTAGACATATAACACATTTTTATTTAAGACTGGATTGATACTAAAATGTATCGAGCAAATGTTAAGAATATAATTCTATCACTAGCTTGAGAGTTAGCGAGAACTTGAAAAAATCTACTCCATAAAATATTAAAAATCATTAATCAGGGTTTTGTTCGAATCGTGTAGTAATAATAACAATAATTACTAGACACACACGGCCGTCCGATCCCAAACTAAGCAAAACCTGTAAAATGGTAACCAGACTCCAGAGAAACTTACTCAAACACATATTGTATATAAATTGAGATTGATTGTGCTCGCACACAATTACTGGTCTTGGGTAGGAATCAAACCCGAAATATAGATTTAGGGTTAGGCTTTGAAGTTCACCAACAATTAATATAATAATAATATATTATTAAGAGGTTATTCGGATCTTATAGCTTATATATAATATCTAAGTATCAATTCTTTACTTCCTTTCACAATCTTTTGTTCAGTATTTTATGAACGATTATAAACCTTGGGTTATTACTTAAAAAGACAATGTTGCATGTGACTGCGGCTATCGTATTAACATTATTATATTTTAAAACTTATATAAAAGTTAAATACATACGTTATATTCTTATTATAAATACATTATTCCCTTTTTGTTTCGATGTCGGAAACACTTTTCTTATTTATGTTATTTTGTATTTCTTATTGGGATGTGTTAGGTAAATAAAAATAGCGTAACGATTAGTAAATTGCTGGTATTTAGAAGATATGCGAAAGGGACTTAATATTTACATACATTAACGACTTGTAATAAAATCATAACCTTCCGAAGTCTTGCTTAAATACACCGACAAAGCATATCAAGTATTCGTACAAAAATATTCTGTAGGTCTGAAATATTTAGTATTGAGTAACACTTATCGCTTTTTTGTGGAAAGGGTTTAGTATCAGTATCTGAGATTTAAACATCATTTTCATTCGTTAATTATAGTGATTTGTAGAGGATTTGATAGGCACATAATCAAAAACATATTAATGATATATAATAACCGAGGTTTTACAAAGATTACAAAGAGAATGAACATACCAAAATTAGATATACAAAAAGTTTTTATGCGGCTTTTTTTTCTCGTCTCGTCATCATATTTGAAACCTTAAACTTTTGACCTAGACGACTTACAGTTTACGCATAAAGATAATAACGCTACCGGTTAGATGTTGACATTTAACATGACATCCTTAAACATAATAGGCCCTAATAAAAACATGATACTGTTTGTTTTGCAACATTCGACTGAGTCAAATAGGCGATAGGTCAACCTCTCACTAGTTATGCAATTTCGCGACCACTGGGCCACCGAAGGAATGTCCATTTTTATCGTAATACCGGATTTAACTTCAATTGATGATGGTTATGTATACATTTTACAGTTATACCTAACATTAAATCCGAGCCGCGTGAAATTAAGCTTCGTTTGTACAGAGTCATTCTATAAAGTTTGTATTGCATTGTAGTTTTTGTGTTTGTTACGATATTTATAGTACATACAGAGTCATAGGTCAAAATTGTATGCAATAGTGTCTGTACAAGAACATCAAAAAGGTTACAGAAAGTGACTCCATCTAGTTTTAATTTTTGTGAGATCGTGTTCTGAATCTACAATGCTTCTACTGTTACTAAGCCTTTGTTTATTCATCGCGTTTAAAAAGGTATGTTATACAATCTTACTCTCACAATATCAGTGTGGACTTTGTGTATGAATATATAAAATAAAAATACAAAAAATGTAACTGATTTTACAATTAATACTTTGTGGTTTTCATGTTTATTGAGGACAGACGGTTTTACTCAAGACAGTATTAAGATTTGAAGATGCAAGACTACTTTCATACTTGATGGAGGACCTTTACCAAGAGATAAAGTGATCTTAATAAAGGTTGTTCTTAATTTAATTTTCTTGTAAAATATATATATATATACCTCAGCCTATGCTTGTCTAAAAACTTAGTTAATTATTCGCGTTTTAATTGCGGATTTTAAAGTCTAATTTTTACACGCTTTATATTAGCTTCACTTGTATGTTTGTTTGTATGTTTGTAACCGACTCCTTTGGGCGTGATTTTGACTGAATTTAAACTTTTAGAATTTTGTAGATATATCGAGGACCGATGACAATACACTAAATTAAACAAAAAGAATTATAGTTTTAAAAAACTAAAAAACACGCTTTCTATAGAAAACCAAACTTTTACTATTGCTGGGTGCTTTTTACTATTGACAACTATATATATTTATATATTTAATTAGTGTTTTTAATTGTAATTGTGTGTTTAATTGTTATTTATTTAATATTGACAACAGGCACCCAACGCTTTTTTTTCAAATTTATTTTCTATTTTTTAGTTTGGTTTTCTATAGAAAGCGTGTTTTTTAGTTTTTTTTTAGTATCATTTTTTAATTTTTTTTTTTACCAATCCTCCCACTTACCTGAAGGGGTAATAACCATTTCTACTACATTTTCGATTGATATTAGATGGACAGTATGTCAGATAGGAAAAAAATATTATAAGAAATGAAATGTATTGTTTCAACCCCATCTTACATTGTAAACAGAGGCTATGTTGCAAGTATAAACAAGTATTTAAGTAGTCAGATAGAGTTGCGTGATAAAATAGTAACTGCGGCACGTGCGCCAACTCAAGCGCATATCAAACATCGACCGGGACTGAAGCTGCGCCTACGCATACCATTGTCAATGCTCAATTAATCGCATAATTATAATAATAATCAATTAACTATTACGTACACGATGTTCATTAATTAATTAAACTCTTTCCATGCAATGTTATTGTAGTGTACAATACCATGTCTTGTTTTAAAATTATTTTGTTTCTCAGTAGTAGTTTTCTGCCCTTTGTCAAGTATTACATAATGCTATAATATCAAAAAAATGTAATTGTTTTTAAAATGATCTTAGAAATTTGTGAAATTTTATAAGTAAATTCAGTATTATATTTCCATTTCATTAAAAAAAAAACATATAGATCAAGATCAATGAATTGATAATAGTAAAAACAAAAGTGATTTGAAACTATCGAACGACTTATTTAATTAATTTAATCAAACCGGTGAAATTTAATCAAAATCGGTCTTACAGTTTAGGAGCAATTATGTCAAAGACAGAAACATACCATAAACATACCTAATTTCCTGTAAAAAAATAAATCAGTTTCTTACACATTACATTATTTTCTGGAGGAGTATCAAGTACTCAGACAGTAATTGTTATTGGAGCATTTTTCTTTAGTATCGTTACTAGTTTATGAACTAAAATGGTGTAGCGATGAAGGTGAACCAGTAACAATATTTAGATAGACAAAACAATCTATGTGTTCCCATGCTGTATTATACGTATATATATATACGATATACGATATTCAAAAAACTTGTTCCATTATACGATATTAGAGAAACGTTATCGTCTCAAAATAATGTTTATGTAAATTTCTCAATCGCTCTAATATTGATGAATTTAGAGAAATATTTAGTTTATAACATCCTTAGACATTAAGCGATGGCATGGCGGTGTTGAAAAATATACATTATAGTATTTCTAAATAAAAATAAAAACATGTGTGAATTTGTGTTATACTCGTAAATTGATATATAAATGCAAAAATTAATACATGTAGTACTGTACCAACATGATGGGATACGAACAATGACTTTACAAGCAAAGATACGGAAGGAATGGTTGGATTTTGATCTTCGATTACGATTTAACAACAGAGATATGATAATAATAGGTTCTAACGCAGAACCAGTACACAACAGTATTTGATAATTGTTTAGGTAAAATTGCAAGGAATTACTTGCTGATGATCGCACAGCATAATTAGTTTTGTATTCAGTTCTTTGACTAGTTCAGTCCAGTTCTCCTAAAATTAATAGTATAGTATAGTAATAGTATAGTATATTGCAGTCTAAGAGGATATATAAAAAAATTAACCTACCTAAGGTAATTTATTTTTACGCTTATACGGCAATGCCTTATAATTTGTAAAATGAGATAGGTGAAATTTTTTGCAAGCCTTTATAAGGTGCGGTACAGTGGTTGGGCGGGAATACTTTTCGAAAGTAAGATTGGTAGACTTTTAAGGATAACGCTACGATCCTGTGCATCTTAATACGTTGTCATGTTGATTTTCCTCTGTCTCAGTCTAATTGTTCTACAGATGAGCAAGTGTAAACTGATACATACATTCAGGCCGCGAAAGTGCACCTTGCAGAGTCGTCGCACCTGCCCGCGTTCAACACATGGCGTAATACAGTTTTGGTACAAGGCTTGGACCGCATTAACGTTCCGTACGATACAAAGTAACCCGACAAAACCATTCAAGTGTTCCAATTACGCGATACCTCTTGCGTTCTTGCCAA